ACCTGGTGGCTGCGCTCTCCATGTTGGGCACGAAAGGGGGTCCCCGGGGGGCCAGACAGCTGAAGACTGGAGTCCCCGGGCCAGTGTGGTCTCCCCCAGTTATTGTTCCCCAGTGGCTAATTTTCACGTCCAATTCCAATAAATCGTGTGTGCTAACAAATGGCTCTCCCCCCTTTGACTTGCCATCCCCTCTGGCTCTTGGTTTTCCAAATGTTTTAGCGCTTGTAGTGGACTGCCGGTCATCGCGCGCCACTGACGAGTCAATCTGTCGACCAAGGTAGTGGGCATCGGCCGCTAAACTATTATTTTCTCCTCTGCTGCGGTTACGGCTAGTGAGGCCGTGTTCAGTCCAGATCTGCCTGGAACTGATGATCTGATGGTTTTGGTCTACCTAGAGTCATTCAAATCTTACCAAGTGGACGCTGCTTCTACTCGATTTCCAATTCTTTTCTGTTCATGTACCTTTTGTGCGTGCTATGGGAGCCTGTAGTACATTTGCATTCTTGTTTCTAGGGAGTCGATCGTTCCTTCCTGCCTGTCTACCTACCTAGCTAACCATAATATTACTCGTCGGCTGCCGTGGCAGGTGATTCCCTCTAGCCGACGGAAGTCCTAAAAGTCAATGGCAATTGGGGAAGTGCCTCTTCAGTCACCGCGTCGTGGTTTCCCCAATTGTTCGCTACCACATTGGCAACAATTGCATGCCCAAACAACCAGACCAAAATTAAAGGTAGTCAGTCTACTCATTGAGCTCTGCGTATTCATCCTCGTACCTGAAGAGCAAGTACGACCGCAATGCGGAATGACACCTTGAGGTTGCTATCGTCAGGTGAGTGAAGAACCAAGAAATGGCACCCCGTACATAGGAAGGATTAAAGGAACCTTCCTGCCCAAGGACCATTGTGTGCGACGGAAGGTACCTCCCACATCGCGCGCTAGCCTGGACGAGGAGCAGTTCCTTCCAAGTGCCCTTGGTGCCTTGTACCTCTCCTGGTTTCTTTCACACTTTTTTCTCTTTCTCGTGACTGATTGACTGCCACCCTCGTCGTCCTTCCCTCCTTCCCCGTGGCCTGCCCGCCCCGCGGCCCCTTCCCAACTCGTCGGGAGTCCCCTTCTCACCCCCCCCCCCCTTCGTACCTTCTTCTTACCTTAGTCTCCCACCCCTCCCCTTCCCCCTCGGCCTCCACGCCTGCCCAAGAGTTATCGGCCCTATTAAGCATGAGCTAGCAGGAGCTTCAATATGGGGACGGCTAACCAACGGGGTTAACCCAATGGGAGCTCATTCTCGATGAACTGTGACCTGCAGACCCTCGGAATGGGGAGATGAAGCACCACACACACTCACACACAACACTCCTCTTCACCACGTCCATACGCATACTGCGTACCTACTCCGTAGACATAGGCATAGGCGTAGTAAGGTCTTCATCGCCAACACGGCAGGCTGCGCTGCTCTGCTCTGTCTAAGTCTGACTGACCCATTTGCATCGGCCTGGCCTGTCGTTCCATTCTCATTCCCCATTCCAGACTCGAGTCTTGGTGACACGCCCCCTCCCCTAGTCTCTCCAATTCCCCCCAGTTCTCAGTCCCCAGTCCATCAGTCGGTACTACCACACACACACCCCCATGCCAGACAGGCGGACTGACACGGACGCAGCTGTGTAGCATTACCTTTTCCTCTGCACCTTCCTGGACGTGACACCAAGACTGATAAAAGGTCCTCGTCTCGCCCTCACTTTCTGACTTGCTCCCCTCCCTTCCTCACGAGCTTCCTCGCCAACAACTCTTCCGACAAGCTTCCTCTCGCCCTCCCCTTACCCATACAATCAGCTCGAACCATCGCCAAGCTCCCGAGGCGAACAACATCAGCAACAACCTCCACAATGGAGAAAGAAACCGGCGTTACGCGCGAGCCCGTCCAGGGCCTCGCCGTCACCGACAATGTCGACCAGATTGAGGCCCCCGTCACATGGAAGGCCTACCTGATCTGCGCCTTTGCCTCCTTTGGAGGTATCTTCTTCGGATACGACTCCGGTTACATCAACGGTGTCCTGGGTTCCATCAACTTCATCGAGGCCGTCGAGGGCAAGGGTGCCACCGCCATTGGCGAATCTGATACCTCCCTCATCGTCTCTATCCTTTCCTGCGGTACTTTCTTCGGTGCTCTCATTGCTGGTGACGTTGCCGACTGGATGGGACGCAAGTGGACTGTTATTCTTGGCTGCTTCATCTACATGATCGGTGTCGTCATTCAGATGATCACTGGTGTCGGTTCTTCGCCTCTTGCTCCCATCGTTACCGGTCGTCTCATTGCTGGTATTGGTGTGGGTTTTGAGTCCGCCGTTGTCATTCTGTACATGTCTGAGATTGTAAGTTTTCACACTTGCGCCCTCGCGAATCCCAGAGTATTCCACTAACACAGATCCATAGTCTCCCAAGAAGGTTCGTGGCGCTCTCGTCGCCGGATACCAATTCTGCATCACCATCGGTCTTCTCCTGGCTGCTTGCGTCGTCTACGGCACCAAGGACCGCACCGACACTGGCGCCTACCGCATCCCCATCTCCATTCAGTTCCCCTGGGCTCTGATCCTTGGTGGTGGTCTCATGTTGTTCCCCGACTCCCCCAGATACTTCGTCAAGAAGGGCAGACTCGCCGATGCCGCCGCCTCCCTTTCCAAGCTTCGTGGCCAGCCCGAGAACTCCGAGTACATCCAGGTCGAGCTTGCTGAGATCGTCGCCAACGAGGAGTACGAGCGCCAGCTTATTCCCTCTGCCACTTGGTTCGGCTCGTGGGCCAACTGCTTCAGCGGTTCCGTCTTTAAGGCCAACTCCAACCTGCGCAAGACCATTCTCGGTACTTCCCTCCAGATGATGCAGCAGTGGACCGGTGTCAACTTCATCTTCTACTACTCGACTCCCTTCCTGCAGTCCACTGGTGCCATCAGCAACACCTTCTTGATCTCTCTCGTCTTCACCCTCGTCAACGTCTGCTCCACCCCCTTGTCCTTCTGGACTGTGGAGCGCTTTGGTCGCCGCACCATCCTTCTGTGGGGTGCCGCTGGTATGACCATCTGCCAGTTCCTTGTCGCCATCATTGGTGTCACTGTCGGTTTCAACCACACTCACCCGGACCCCAACGATGCCACCAAGAGCATCGCCGACAACATTCCCGCCGTCAACGCCCAGATCGCCTTCATCGCCATCTTCATTTTCTGGTTCGCTTCTACCTGGGGACCCGGTGCCTGGATTCTCATTGGTGAGGTCTTCCCTCTGCCCATCCGCTCCCGCGGTGTTGCTCTGTCCACTGCCTCCAACTGGCTCTGGAACACCATCATTGCCGTCATCACCCCTTACATGGTCGGTGAGAAGCGTGGCAACCTCAAGTCTTCAGTCTTCTTCGTCTGGGGTGGTCTCTGCACCTGCGCCCTGGTCTACACCTACTTCCTGGTTCCCGAGACCAAGGGCCTGTCCTTGGAGCAGGTCGACAAGATGATGGAGGAGACTACTCCCCGCACTTCCGCCAAGTGGAAGCCCCATGAGACTTTTGCCTCTCAGGTCGCCCGCAACGGCGTCCTCGACAAGGTCCATGTCGACAACATTGAGCGTCGCACTTCCAACGTCTAAGTGCGCGTCTATCTAATGTCCATTTTCACTTTTATCTATACCCCTAGTATATTACCCGTCTTACCGGGTGAATAACCTGGGAGGCATCTCTGAAGTTGGGTTCAATTTGGACACATCTTAACAACTTGTAATGCGAAATGTTGATGTGGAATGCATGGCGCGTGGGGGATAACATAGTCGTCACGATTGTGACTAGTTTACACTACCGCACGAAGATAACTGTTAATACAACTAAAAAAAAGTTGAACACGATGTTCTCTACATTTGCCATTGCTTTCTAAATGATTGTGCCTGTGGCGGTCTGAGTTCTCAATGGCGAGTAGCGCCCTTGGAGAGTAATGAAAATAACAAAACATTGGAATAAGATGACATATGCATTCATTATTCATGCACCCTGCTGGGTACCTTTTCCGGCACCACCTGTAGCACTACGTCGGGCTGAGGCTTCGGCATTTCGTGGTCTTGTCTGGACTGGGGCAAGTTGAGCGGGTCTCGGATCTCTTGGCTGCATTCTGCAGGGACGGGGCTCCCGAAGAGCAAACTACACTTGCGGATACCAGGTCACTTTTTTGTAAAGGTTCGCAAACACCATAATGAATGATGCCTTACTCTGGTACGTGCTTTCGGGTCGCTGCGAGGTACGAATACATTCAAAGTCACTAACCCTTTGCGTGGGTACACCTCATGTAGCTGTTCTCTGAGAGGGTGAAGCTGCCGGTTCTGATTTTCATGCATACTTAGGTTGCTCTGGATTCTTGTGTTCGGGTCGCTTGCGCTTCTTGGCTTCCTCACAGGCGAGATCTGGTCTGTCACTGGTGTAGCTGGACTCACATTTGCCTTCGACGCCCGCAGTCACGCCGTATCGTCTAACTGAGCTTGCATTTCTAGTGGTGAGTACCCTTTGGGCCTCGGCGAGTATTCGGACTTAATTCCTTCCCGGGAGCGGAAGGGGAGAGCTTTTCTCTAGGACGCATGTCTAGTAGCTGGGAGATGGATGATTCTTAGTCGGCTGCCTATGGGCATGCCCTTCATACGCTCGCTCTGCGTGCTGGCTCAAGGTCTACCCAAAGGGGCAGAGATCTATAGTTAACCCCGTAGAAAGTAGTTTGGCCAGCCCAGAATTACTCAGAGCAATCCAATCCTTCTTCAGCACACTTTTGCAGCCCCTACTATCCGGCAATACATTGCCCGAATCAATACCCAAAGGGTGCGGACGGCCAATCTTCCGGGACTATATAAAGTCGACGTCATTTTGCAAAGGACGTGACGGATAGACATGTGATTCGAACGTCTATTGCCTCTTCCTGCGGAATGAAAAGCCTTCCATGTACCTACGTCCAGTTTAAGCCCGAGCGCCACGCGGCGCCCAAGGCACCTCATACCGCCACTCCGGAACCCACCTTTTGCTGCACTCTGTGGAAGAGCCGCTGGAGCGTCTCCCGCATGCGCTCGAGATCATGCGCCTCTCTGCCCCATCGCCCGAGAACCCTCAGCGCAAGCCGCACGAGAGAGTTCCAGTTCGAGGGCGGGTCCACAGGGCGGTTCTCTGCCGCGACGACCGCGAGGACCATGACGGCGCAGGAGAATGCGCGGCGGGCGACGAACCAGCTTCCGCCATGGCGGTGGTGGTGCGCCGTTTTGACGATCATGGCGGCGCAAGTGTCGACGGCTCTTTGAGCGAGGTGAATCACGCGCGGGTTCGTAGGGTGCTGCTGGCTCTGGCCATGTTGGCCACGGCTATGGGTTCCATGGATGGCGCAGTAGAGGAGCGGCCGGAGGGTTGATTCGCGCCAACCTTGGAACCGGCCTTGGAGGTAGAATGCGAGTTCGTTGTCTGGGTAGTCGTGTTCGGTGAATTGGATCAGGGGCGGAAGATGGGAGTGTCTGGGAGGCGTGTAAGTTCGGCATTCGGCTGGGGTGGTTGCTGTGCTGAATTCCTCGGAGATTTATTCGCAGTGCTTTGAGGCTCGCCAAGACTGGGGAATTCAAGTCGGAAGAACAGGAATTACACGAATAATATGGATGAGCGGGGTAGAAGAAACTCACAATTGCGAAATTTCCGTTTCAAACTCGTCATATTGTCGGACTAATAAATCTTCGTTCCTCAGCCAGTAGGCCTCGCCTTTTCGGTACAACACGGACATAGTGCTTTTGATCGTCCGCCGGAGGGAGATCTCGGCGAGGTAGTAAAGCCAACTGCGTTCTTCTTCCAAGCGATGTTGAGGGTCTGAAAATGGTGACCAGGCGTAGTCTGAGGGGTTGGCGGATAACGCGTTGACTATGATGGTGGGAGGCGTCGCCATGGAGAGTGTCGAAGGAGGTGCAGGGAAGGAGTCTGGGTAAGTGAAGTCCTCAAGGCCGCTTGGTCGAAGGCCCAGAGTCGGGAGGATCTCGCTACTTTCGTCAGTGGAAAGACGCTCACTATACGGTAACATAGAGAAGGTGGAGGCTACTCACTTCTCAGCCTTGAAGCAAGACCAAAATAATCGTTGCTCAAGGGGCTGTGTCGGCTCTTCCCGTCCACTGGGCCCCCTCCACGGCCGTCGTCCTCGCCGGAGCAGATGGGCTTGCAGTCTTGTCGAGGCCTGTTGGATGTAGAAGCAAGCTCGTAGCGGCCGAAGGCGGCACTTTTCGTACATGGAGGCCAGGAACAGGCACTGTATGTCAAGGATGGAGGGACCTAGGAGGCCGATGCGTTTGGATGCTGCGAGGTAGTACGCCTCTGCGATACCGCAGTCCTGTGGTTCAAGTATTGGTGGGAGAGGGGTCTCTGATACGTCGGTTTGGGTCATGGATGTGGTTTCTTGCGGTGGGATCCAGGGAGTTGTCAGACTTGCTAAGGCGCAGGCGAGGAGCTGTTGGTTGGTATCAGTTGATTGGGTTCAAGGGGTGCTGAAAGGGCGAATGGAGAGCTCTTACTACAAGACAGGATGGAGCATCCCACTTGATGCCGTATTCAGTTGCTTGTTTGGCGTGGGCTATAAGTTCGTTGCTCTCGAGAATCGGGTTACGGGGATGGACATGTGTGAGAAACTTCCGGCAAAGGGGAGCGAAAGCATCTTCTTGGATACCTGATCCGTTGAGCGCCGAGGAATTGCTGGGCTGATCTAGGCCATCATCGGTCATGTCGGTGCCGAATTCTAGAATGAAGGATTCTATTCGTGCGTCGTCCTCTGGTATGATGCCCTCGAAGATAGGCCACCGTAGCATAGACTCGCAGCGGAGGGCCGAGTATAGCGTGCGGGAAGCTTCTTCGCCGTGATGATCATGCTCGTCCATAAAGTACTCATGGGGCTCACTGTTGTTTCTATGCCGGTGAAACCTGGGCCCATCTATTTGATGGGTTTCCGCCTGAGATACCGCAGCTTCCACCATCGATGCCGGCTGGTCACGCAATGGGCTTACTGATTTCTGCAGTAAATGCTTGATTTCATCTAGTCTTTCCAAGATGAGTGAACTCGCGATGCCTTCATCTTGAGCCTGGGCAGCATCAGCTACCCTCTCTCTTCCTTCCTCACCCTTCTCTTCGTCGCCGTACACGCAGGTCGCATGGTGATGTCGACAGAACCCGCATACGGGATGGACGTTGTCGCATTTCGTCTTGCGGAGACGGCAGAACTGGCACGCTGTTGCTGCGCGTTTTCTCCGCGTGAGATGGGGTGCTGTTTGCGTGGTACGTCGTTTCTTGTTGGGTGGACCTGCTCTGGTTGAGACCGGTGGAGGTATGCTTTCCACTTCTGGTGATGCAGATTGTGATGAGGAAGCTGCAGATGCAGCTATCACTGTGGACGTTGTGTGACGTTGACGTGTGCGTTGCGAGATTGCGTTATCGTTGCTGATAAGGTCAGGAACGCGCATGTTTGCGTGCGTCAGTCCCAGGCCGGGAGGGATCCGGATCAGTGGTGGATGGTCCGGGGGAAAGTACCTTCAGGTACGGTGCCTGCCTGAAGGCGTGGTGGACGTTCCGGGTTTTGGTCCCCCGAGTGGAGAACCGAGGGACGGAGGAAAGAGGGGCCCATCAATCACGACATCGGCACCCCCAGTCCCCTCCTCAATTCACGTCCCCATTGTTTGACCCCAATTCCTTAAGTCTTATTTCCGCCGCCGTTCTTGTCCATTCCTAAGATGGCGATTTTTTGCACTCCATGTGGTAGGACCCGCTTCCCGGGACCGGGACGCGACGACATAAGCAACGCATATTCGGGTCAATATCGATTCGATGGTGTCCAATCAGTGACTATCTGAACCGGATTGACCTGCCTCACTGAGCATAGCACAGCAATCATTTGGGAAGTGAAGGGTCTGATGTAAGAGGTTTGCTCACCATGGCGTACATGGTGCCACAAGACGAAAGTCCCTTTCTCAGCTTCGAGGCTTGAAATACTCGGCTGGTCCGCATTCGCACCGAATGTCCTAGAATTTGGATGGAGTTGACCGTGATACACCCCCAAAAGCTGGGATCATGGCAACTAATACCAGTTGCCCTTTGGGCAGTGACAATCAGTTCGGCCCTCGCATCGACTACAACTGTCGTCACTTTGACTTTACTCTTCTCTTCGAAGATGCCGTCTTTCATATCATCCCTTCGGTAGTCTTTCTCTTACTCATTCCATTTCGAATATTCTCCATTGCACGGACACCGGTGAAAGTAGCCACTTACAGACTTGCCTTGTTCAAATTGGTGGGTTTCGACTTGAGGAACTCACTTCATCCAACTCAAAAATACTAACACAGACGTAGGCTCTCTTGAGCATCTTGACTACACTTCATCTCAGTTTCGTCATAACTGACACCAGGTCATTGGCTCTCCGAACGCAAGTTTCAATGGCCGCGAGAATTCTCAACTTCATCGCCGTTTTTGCCGCTACTTTTCACTCATTCCTCGAAGACCAACGCTCTACCCGCCCATCCGACTTGCTCATACTCTACTTCTCAGCCTCTGTCATACTGTCACTACCGCGCCTCAGAACCTTATGGCTCATCACCGGCGCCGGAGCACCCAGAGGTCTCTGGACTGCCATCATCATTCTCACGATCCTTGTCGTTCCTTTGGAGTCCATCGGCAAGAAGCGATTCTTGCGAACAGAGTACCGGACTCTCACGAAAGAAGAAGAAACTGGCTTCTGGGGCCGCAGCTTCTTCACGTGGCTTATGCCTTTCTTCCGTCTCGGCTACTCGCGGGTCATTCACATTCGGGATATGCCGGAAGTTGACAAAGACTTAGCTGGAGATAGAGCAAGATCAAGCCTCGATGCCGCGTGGTCGAAGCGGAAGGGGCAGAAGTACCATGCTTTGATTCGCTCCAGCTTTTACGCCTATCGCGGGGCTCTCATAGCCGGCGTTCTAACGCGTCTCTTTCTCTCTGCGTTCACGTTTTGCCAGCCGTTCCTCATCACGGCGACAGTGAGATACATGCAAACGCCCAAGACACCAGAATCTGAGAGATATGGACAAGCACTTGTCGGGGCATATGTACTTACATATTTCGGTCTAGCGGTCTCTCGAGCTGCATTTTCTCGCCACCAGTTCCGCTTCACGACGATGCTTCGAGCAGGGCTGATGTCGATGATATTTAGACAGACCGTCTCTCTCAAAGCAGATGACTTGAAAGACAGGGCTGCGGTTACTTTGATGGGCACAGATATTGAACGCATCGTACTCACGTTTAACAACCTTCATCAGATTTGGGCTGCGGTTCTGGAAGTCGGCATTGCAGTATTCCTCCTGCAACGACAGATAGCCTCTGCATCTGTAGTACCAGTCGTCATTTCCATCGGTAGGTCAATCAAGGACTGCTTTGAAGTCTGCAGCGCTAATAAGGTATCAAAAGTCTGCGCTTTTGGCGTCATACCCGTCTCTAAGACCATTGGAAGGGCTCAAACGGCCTGGATTGAACGTTTACAGAAGCGAGTGGCTGTCACGGCCTCAATGCTGGGCGATATGAAGGCCATCAAGATGCTCGGTCTCTCGGGCGTGTTGTCGACCACTATCACAGACTTGCGACGAATCGAATTAAGGACCTCAGAGAAATTTCGCAAACTAGTCCTTTCTCAGATTCTTGTTTGTAGGGTTTTTTTCCAGTGTTGCCGGTATCCTGCTTCATAGCTGAATTCTTCCCAGCAAACCTTCCCGTCGAATTCGCTCCGTTTGCGACATTTGTCATCTACAGTATAATCGCAGTCATCACCAAAGATCAAACGTTGACGACGACGAATGCCTTCACTGCTCTATCTTTGATCGGCCTCTTGACAGAACCGCTTTTGCTATTCTGCCAATTTGTGCCTAACATTGTACAAGGCGTGGCTTGCTTCAAGCGCATCGAGATGTTTTGTCTCAAAGGACACGAAGGCTCACTGCAGAAACAATCGACGCCTCCACCGCGCTCTTCAGTCACCATCTTGAACAGGACAAGTATCGAACTTGCAGACCATTCAGTCCACAAAACATCGCAAGGTTCAATAATCTCGTTCTGTAACGCAAGAATATCCTGGTCGCCTGATTCCGACGCAGTCTTTAAAGACCTTTCCTTGACGATAAAGAGAGGCATTATCATGGTCGTAGGCCCTGTTGGATGCGGAAAGTCTTGCCTCATGGAAAGTATCCTTGGAGAGACATCATTCAGTACTGGGACCAGAGATTGCATGACTCAAGGTATCGCCTACTGCGCGCAGACTCCGTGGATGATGAACGACAGCGTGAGAAGGAACATCACTGGTGGCTTGGATCATGATCCGAAATGGTTCGACCAAGTTTTGTGGCTGTGCTCCTTGACTGACGATGTGAAGAACATGCCTGGAGGAGAGTTGTATATCATTGGCAGTAATGGCGTCGGCTTGAGCGGAGGGCAACGACAGCGTGTGGTGAGTTGGGTTCGAGGGGTATAAGTGCTGCCATATCTGACATTTTCGCAAGGCACTGGCTCGCGCTGTCTACTCCAGACACCGAGTTGTAGTTCTCGATGACGTCCTCAGCGGCCTCGATTCCAGAAGTGTCAGCCAGATCTCAAGCCGTCTCTTCAGCGAAGATGGCCACTTCCGACGGAATAAGATCTCCGTCATTCTTGCGACTCACAACCGTAAGATTACCCCCAGGAAGAAGATACCGTCAATTCGGAAGTTCCCAACTGACAGCGAAAAGGTGCACTGCTTCGACATGCAGATGAGCTGATAGTCCTCGCCGATGGTGAAGTTCTGAGCCAAGGTCCATATGAGCAGGTTCTTGCTAGCTCATCTGAATTTATTACAAAATCGAGACTAGAAGACGACGAGAATATTCCAAGCGGTGAAGATTCGGAGCCAGCTGACGAAGTTGTGAAACCCACGCAAATCCAAAGAACACTGGACGCTGAGGAGGACAGGCTGCGCCAGAACGGCTCTTGGTCAGTTTACAAGTACTACTTCGAGCGAGCTGGTTGGTTAGTAGTTGGCTCGTTTGTCTTTGCCACTTTCACCGAGGCATTTTGTAGTGGCTTTACAAGTCAGTTCTCGGAGACTCCCACACATTGCTCATATCGCGCTGACATACAACTCAGATATCTGGTTTCAATGGTGGGTTGAAGCCAACGAAAAACGGCCAAATGACAACCTCGGCATGTATCTTGGGGTTTATGCACTCTTGTTCGCGATGGCATGCATTGGGCTTTCTGTGGAATGCTGGTAAGACTATAAACGGCCTTTGTTTCTGAGATTAGGTGCCGCTGACGATAATGGGCAGGCTGCTTTTCATACGGATCATAAGTGCGACGGCCATGAGTCTACATCATGATCTCCTGCACACGAGCTTAAGGTAGCGCGAGAACCTACGTCTTTTTGCTGTCGTGTACGCTAACACCATCTCAGGGCACCTCTCAGCTTTTTCCAGTCCACTGATACAGGTTCCATCACCAATAGGTACGTATGTCTTACACAGACGTCTCTAGGCTACAGGCAAGCATGAATCTGACCACTCCGTGATCTAGATTTAGCCAAGATCTCAACCTGGTTGATGTGACTCTTCCGTCGAATGCTATCAACTTTGCTTCGAGTAAGTACTTTGTCTTCAAAAAGATTTTCAACCACTGTCTGGCTGCGCTGAACCTTTTGAAGATGCTTGCGCTTGCATCGTGAAGCTTATCATATTATGTGTCATGGGTAAGTACTTGGCGACATCCGTGCCTCTCCTATTTGGAGTTCTCTTCTTCGTTCAACGATACTATCTCCGCACCTCTCGCCAAGTCCGTCTCCTCGACATCGAAGCCAAGGCCCCAATCTACACCCACTTCCTTGAAACTCTCAAAGGCGTTGCTACTATTCGTGCCTACCAATGGCAGGAGAACTTTGAGGAGCAGGCGACAAAGCTCCTGAACACCTCACAAAAGCCCCATTACATGCTAGCCTGTATCCAACAATGGCTCGCCCTCGTTCTGGATCTTGTTGTTGGGGCTCTGGCGCTCATAATCGTGAGCATGGCGACGTCCATAACTGACAAGTTTTCTCCCGGAGCAATTGGTGTTTCCATGGTCTTGGTTCTGGGGTTCAATAATTCTCTCGCGACAACGATCAAGAATTGGACTGCTTTGGAAACTTCCATCGGTGCTGTGGCCAGAATACGAGAGTTCGCCCAGACAACGCCCTCCGAGGAGCGTGAGCTGGAAAGCTCTGGTGTTCCTCCCGAAAGATGGCCAATGCAAGGTCGCATCGCCTTTGAGAACGTTACTGCGAGATACACAAAAGACGGAGACGCAACTCTCAAGAACTTGACACTTTCAATATCATCCGGTCAGAAGATTGCAGTCTGTGGGCCATCAGGCAGCGGCAAGACATCATTCGTTCTCTCACTGCTTCAGATGATTGAAGTTACCGACGGGAAAATCTCCGTGGACGGCATAGATCTTGAAGGTCTGGAGAGAGCGGAAGTACGTTCGCGAATCAACGTCATACCTCAGGAGCCATTCTTCATCCCGGGCAGCGTCCGATTCAACATGGATCCACACGCCCGCGAAAGTAGCGACGCGATCAAAGCAGCGCTTGAAAAAGTCGGCCTCCTGGGCAAGATCGGTATGGCAGGTGGTCTGGACAGCGAACTCGATGCCGATGGGTTCTCAGTAGGGGAAAGACAACTCCTAGCGTTGGCGCGTGCCATAATCGAGAAGAGCCAGATCCTGATCTTGGATGAAGCAACAAGCAGGTACGGGATTTTCCTCAAGACTCAAATGCCATCCATCAACTGACACCAGTCTAGCGTCGACCAAGACACCGAAGATAAGATGCAGCGAATTATCGAGGAAGAGTTTTCGAAACAGACTGTAGTCTCCGTCATACACCGTCTGGGATTCATAGAAAAGTATGACCGGGTGCTCCTTCTGAAGCAGGGAGAGGTCGTGGAGTGGGATACTCCCGATGTATTGCTAGCGACTGATTCCGAGTTCAGGAGGTTGCTAGACAGCTACGCAAACTTCGCATTGAGAAACGGGGAGTAAACAGGAATATCGCAGAAAAACTAGGGAATCTTAGAAGTTCGTTCACGGGGGTAATATGTACTGGACTTGAAACCCTACCTATGTTTCCTCCAACTCAGCGATTAACTTACGGTGTTACCAAGATGGGCGGCAGGAAGGCAACACCCGGCTGATCCATGCTCCATCCCACGAGAGTCAGACAAGTTTGCGGGTCAATATGGTGCGGGGTAGATCGATGATTGATAACGGTGCTTGGCTAGCCGACGAGGGGAAGGTTGGTGTCACTCTTTATGGATCAATTATGCATGGCAAGGGGCACTTGAAGCTCTCAACTACCATAGATCCACGAATACCAAATCCACTCGCGAACTAATCCAAGTCTTCATCGGAACCACCCTGGATATGGCGCGGAAGATCAGGCTAGGAATTATTACGCCCTCTTCCAATACCAGCCTTGAACCTCTCACACAAGCCATCGTCTCCGGGCTTCCGGATGTCACAGTTCACTTTTCTCGTTTTCGAGTTCTCAAGATCAGCCTAGATGATGATGAGCTCGACCAGTTTCAGACCGGCAACTTGATCTCAGCGGCGCAGCTTCTGGCCGATGCTGAGGTTGACATGATCGGTTGGAGTGGTACTTCATCGGGTTGGCTGGGGTTTGAGGCAGATGAAAGGTTATGTGCGGAGATCACTGCGGCAACTGGGATTCCCGCGACGACTTCTGTTCTCGCACTGAACAAGGCCTTGCACGAGTTCGACGTCAAGGATCTTGGCTTAGTCACTCCTTATACAGATGATGTTCAGGAAGCTATCATTCGGAACTATTCGCGTGCCGGAGTGAGTTGCCAAAAGGAACGACATCTAGACCTTACAGTGAACTCGTCTTTTGGCCGCGTCGAAGAAACTACGCTAGATGGTCTCGTGAGTGCTGTCGCCGCTCAGAGGCCAGAGGCAATAGCACTCTTCTGCACAAACTTGAGAGCAGCGCAAAGGGTGGCTTTCTGGGAGGACAAGCATGGCATCTTGATGCTTGATACCGTTATCACGGTTATTTGGGACATGCTGCGAGAATGCAAGGTCAATATGAAGCCCTTGGGCAATTGGGGCAAATTGTTTTCAAAGTAGTAGAGGCTAGTGACTATTGGTACATGGAGATATATGTTACATGAGGTTGAGAAATATTCCTAAAGAGCCGTGTAACTGCCAGGCCTCCTCGTCAAAAACATGCGCTTCGTTTGATATCCAATTGCGCCATCACAGTCCGAAAGGAAGGTTGATCGGAAGTCCCCCGCCGAAGGGAATATTGACAGGAAGCCTACCACCGTTGTTGTTCCGACCACCAAAGGGGAAGCCTCCGCCGACAAAGGGAGTGTTGTCGAAGTTGACCATGTTTGGTCCACGTGAATCGGATGTCCATGACCAGGAGCGGCCTCCATCGCCACCAATATCGATGTTAACGTGCACTCTCCTTCGCGTTCCGTCTTCATCTCTGTCATCATCTTGCTCGTTTCTTTGCTGATCTTGTCGTGAATTTTGGCGCCTCTGCTCTGGTCTTGAATTCTGTCGCTGCCGGCTATTGCGTGGTCTCTGAGGTTCTGACCTCGGCTCAGGTTGCCGTGGTACCTCTTCATCAAAGGAATTATTTCCTTCATCTTCTTCTGGCTGCTCATATCGGCGGCGTTGCTGCTGCTGCTGCTGTTGCCTCGGTGGTGGAGGAAGTGGCGGCTCTCTGGGTGTTTTTATATCGCCGTACATCCCGTAGATGCTGTCCTCCCAGTTCTTGTTTGGTTCGGGCTTCTTTTGTTCCCGGCGTGACGGGGGTGACCGAGAAAGCTTCGGAGGCTCTGTGGTCTCCTGGCTGTAGCGCGAGCTCTCATCAGTTCTGCCAGTGCTGTATCTGGCGCTGCTCCGATCAAAGTTGTTGCTGTATGAGCTTGTATATGGTTGGCTCTGCTGCGAACCTGGTGGTGTTGAGCGGACAAGGGCATTGGAAGGCGGGAATGGAGATTGTCCCGGGCGAGGATTACTGGAGTTGCCCATGCTCCCATTGGAGCCTGTTTTGTTGCTCATTTTCTTGTTCTTTTGCAATAAAATCAACTGTCGACTTTATCGGTTGTAAGCGAGAATATTCTCTTTTTGGTAGGCTCTGGACTCTGCAATCAAACTTTATAAACCTACATTAGATTACCGTATGTTATATCTTTTGCAGTTCCATGCAAGGCCAAGCCCCGAGCAATGATCCGGTTGACAGTGGCGCCACAATCCTCCGACTCGAAATCCATGCGTTTCATAATGTCTTATGGGGCTGACGAGAACTTGCGTTTCTTTATGGATGGGTCGAGACCTTTCGATGTTTGTGACTGGACGCGTTTGAGATTCTCCCTGATGATTCGGATCAGCGAAACATCAGACCATGGCTTTTCTCATCCATCGCGGCCTTGCATCAGAAAACAGTCCTAAATCAGTCTTCCAGGAATTTTCGACCTTCGCATTGTTGGCGAACTGATTACCCCTGATGATCTGTTGTCATTGGTCACTGTGATGTGGTTGGAGCAAGGTTCGATCCCTAGATCAGGGGTCATCTCCGTCCGATGCTCCCTAAGGTCCATCCCATCACCGACCCATTGTAGGCCCCACATCCTTGTGTATGTGCCAAAAACCAAGAGCTCCAATGTTTAATACCTCCTGGCTTTGGAAGGTGCCAGGTAGTTTGATTGACATCACGTATAATCGTAATGAACACTTCAGGTTCCAATCCTCTAGCGTGAAAAGACTATATTGCCGGATATAATGATTGAAACATAACGAATGACAGGCAAAAGGCTATTTTCCACCCTCACGTCTACAAGCCCCCTTTGCCAGCTGGTGACCAGTACTGGAATCGAAGCAGAATGCATTTCCAACCGCGAACAGACACGGAGATGAGAATTGTCGAGACTCCATACTGCACACGAGCTTTTCTCTGAACCTCAATGTAAGTAATTTTGCTGCCACGATTTCCTATACGAGAGGTTTAGGAGAGCTCGGTCGTAACTTATTTCCACCACATCACGAATTGGTTGTCAAACTGGAACCTTTCACCGGGCTTGATGGTTAGGGTGTAGGCCTCATCCCAGAAGATCTTCCAGGGGGAGCGCTCCATCCCGGTAGACATGTCCTCGATTCCGGCGGTGACGAAGTTAGGAGCTTGGTAGTATCAGCTGTCTGTGAGTCCGCTTTGGAAGCTGGGTACTAACCGTTGGGGAAGGCGGCATTGAACTGTACGATGAGCGTGTGGATGTCGTTGAACCAAGCGGTCACAGCTACGTTGACTCCATTAATGATAATAGTGGTTAAGACTCTCTTAGCCCAACCGTTGCCAGCCTTGAATAGGCCACTCTGGTGGTTGGCAGGGGCCATAGCTGTACTATGTCAGCGGTCTTTTCTTGGCTAAACATGGGCGGACTGGCATACCACGACGCTCAGACGAGTTCTCGACCTCATCAGAGGCCCTAGCCACGACAACTTTTCAATGTCAGCTTTGTGTAAGCGCTGAAGTCTCAAGACTTTTCTTACCATCAGCGAGGTTGACATCGCGAGTCTCATGAGCCTGGAGGAAGCCGAGGTCTACGACGGGCTTGCCTACATCATTCATTAGATCTCGGTCGTTGATTCTTGCAGGTGAAAGCTCACTTTCGGCGTCCTTGACGATGTTCGCCTCGTTCAGGTTAGGAACAGGAGTGGCTGAGGCAACAGCCAGCAGAAGGGCGATGGTAGTGGCGGCGAAACGCATGATGAGATTGTGGATCTAAGCTAGATGAAGCGAGTGAAAGTTGATAAGAGAATGTTTGAAAAGGGATACCTATTCCATGGCGGGTTGAACCATACCTTTTATAAAATTCTAGACTTTTAGTAAAAGACTGTTTTGGTAGTCAACGTGCCTGAAAATAGTATCATTTCTGCAAATACTCCATTCAGCGCTGATGATTACAGAATTTGGGTATTGCTCTTCGACTAGGCTAATCATTGCGACAATATCTTTGACAAGCTTTCCTCCAAAAGTCTAAAAATTGCTAAGCTTTCGATCAGTGCGGACACAATCAAAAATTGCAAGCATCATATTTGAAGGCCTATTGAATGTTACCGTAGTTGAAGTTGCGCGAGTCGGTAAACTATGAGTTCAGTGTTGTCTTCGGTCCGCTACGGAGTGCTCCGTGATTTGGAGTGCTCCGTGATTTCTAGCTTTTGCGGAATGGACTCGGTGACTACCGTAGTTGCTTGCTGTCTACAAGTCCCGCACTAGTTCAACATCAACGCATGGTTCAAGTAACCTAAACAGGACACGCATTTGTGTAAATCCGTGTCCTGACTTGGCCGTGTAAGCTTCAACTAACTACTGTAAATTAAGTGTCCGGTTCGGTGTCCTGGTCTTGCAAAGCCAAAGATAATATCGGGTCTCCCGAGTGAAATATTCAAGTCGTGGCTTCCATCGCTTTCGCTTTCTATTCTTCTGAATAGGCACTGGGAAATTTCCGAAGACAAAAGTGCCCAAGGTGTTCGCCTCACTTCTCGGGTATTCAGAGCCCATGTGATAAATCCCCCTTGGCTGGTATTATGCTAGCGCTTTTACGACACCATGCAACTGCAACACTCAAATCCTATAGTAGTGAATCACGGGTGTAGAAAGTTAATAGTGAACGCTATATTCTTCCACTTGCGCCCTAAAGCCGGCATCTCTATATTGATTAACATGCCGGCAACCGACATATCTAGCAATGTCTCACTAAGGTCTTTGCCGCGTCCAGGCAGGTCAAGATTTCTGGAGTATCTCCATCTGGTTCAGTCCACCTTGAATAAGCCTCGAACTATTTCCGCACTCGGCACTGTCGATCATGGTCCTTCGATGCCAACGAGCCCAGTCTTTCGCAGTATCTATGCTACCAAGCTACCTCAAACAATCAAATCACTTATCTGACCAGTGCCGACTAGACGGTGTGTGAGAGATGGTTTCCACACACTTTATGCTTTCCATAGCCTGCATTTTGATTTTGTCACTTGCCTAATAGGAACTTTGTCAAGACGTGCTGGCACCCTGGCTTGAGCTGTGCTTGCCAACAAAACCATTCTAGCTTGCAATCATCCATATTAATCCAAGCCGACAAGGTGACAACGCTATCGGGTGCACAGAAGGTCTGTCTATTATGCTTTTGTAGATTGGTTTTTCAGAGAAATCATTACCAATGGAAAGGAAATTTGGTTCCGAATCCGGCTATTCAACGTCGATGCGAATGCGAAGTACAGACGGCGTAAGAAAAGACAGAACTGCGGTAATCAAGATGGTCCTGAACTTCTGAAGTGAGTATAAAAGGAGTGAAAGACCTCCAAACGTTCGTCACAAGCATCCATCCATCTCATCATTTGCATCAAAACCTAAGTGTCTCGAACCTACTTTCTCGTCATCCGAGCCCCAGTTCTCAGTTCAAAATGAAGGCTGCCGCTGTTCTAGCTTTTGCTGTCCTGTAAGGCCACTCTCAAACCTACACCATCACAAGTCGTAAGCTTACAACATGATATAGTGCCCCCAATGCCGTTTCGGCTTGGATGTGCAATTGCCGCAGCAGTAAGGACGCTCAGATCTTAGTTGCCCTCAAGTTCTGCGGAACAGGCCCGGGTCATACCCGCTGCTATAACCCGACCACCAAGGTCCAGGCGGTGAGATGCCTCGAGGATTTGACACAAGCTTCGTGCGATTACTTACATAGTAATAGTGTATTATGAACACCCCCATCACACAAGCTGATTGTGACGCAAAGTATGGCGGCAAGGGCGAATGGATCGCTCAGTGTGAGCACTGGACTGGTGCCTGTCCTCCCGGCTCTACCCAGGATTAATCTCCTTTACTGCACTAAGCACATGTTTCGGGTCCAGTATGAAATCGAACTTATGACCGGTAGAATGTTCACTCCAAATAAAACCCAGATTTTCAAACTGGCCTGGATGCCCTATGGTCCAACCTTTTGCAAAGTGAAAGACTCGGTGTTTCTCAAAGCTAGTGGACGTAGCTGTTGCCTATACTGACCTCCATGAGATTCTCGAATTACCCTTCATAGCCTCTCTAGCATTCTACATGGTCTAATAAGGATATGCGTCAAAAGGGCATCTCCAACTAGTATTTTGCTATGTGCTGACCAAGAAACATGTTTGGTGTTGGCGCAAAAACGTTTGCGGGTTTGCATACGGTCCCAATGCACCACCGTATTGGGAGTAATATACTAAGAGCTCAAGCCTCGGACGGGTCTCTAGTAGAGTTGAAAAAAGGAAACCGGCAAAATGCGGCTAGATGTTTCCCCCAAAGCTCTGTGGCAACATATTCCGCATCCATTGCAAGACTCAGTCTTCAGGGCATCTTCTCCAGAACACAAAGACTAATTAAAGCAATCCACGCGCCCAAGGAACGTAGGATGAAGGTTTTCTTCAGAGCTTTCCCTCAGTGATGGAGAACAGTTGAATACGCAGAAAAGATTCAACTAATTACAACGACATTCTTAGCCTGGCCAAGTCTGTCGTGGCGAAGGTAGCTCGCTTAGGGGTCAAGGTGCTTCGGAGCGTTTGATCCGTCATTTAGATGAGTTTTCGCTGTCTTTGCAATGCTTGACCAACAGAATAATCTGCTCGGTGTTTTATAGAACGACGAGATTCGTTATTCCTCGTCTCGATTCCAAGGTAAATCAAAAGTGAAGATAATCGGCAACGCCAGGACCTCTTAGGGTTCGACAGTTAAGGTATTCTTCCTATGAAAAGATGCAAGTGCCGCTTTTCCCTATCAAAGTTCCAGGCATACAGGATTTCAATTCCCCGTCAGCAAATACTTCGTGACGAAGAGGACGCCGTAGTCTGGCTATAAGATATGATCACGTAGTATCTGCTGGGTGAATTCCTAAAGGGGCATTCTTCATTCCAGTGCCCGAAGTTTTACGCCTACGAGATGGATCCTTTGAGTAACGGCTCGACATGGCTAAACATCTCCATGGAACTCAAATTACCTACTGCTGCTCAGGGAAATGCCCTCACAAACCGCACAAGTGGGAGGCGATGGTCTCTGCTAAAACCTATCGAGTTGAATCTAGGTCTTTCATGAACATCTCCTTCCATTAGTCGTGGGTATGCGCAGCCTTCTCTTTGATGCGGCATCACATACTGGAGGTTCGCTTTTGAAAAGGATGCTACCTGTTTGATGTTTATCTCAAATCATAAGTAGAGTCTTGCAAAATTGTGGCGTCGGCGGCACCAAGGCCTGGATCCAAAATTCCGACGAACTTTATTGAGCATACCTATCAAGGTGATAGAATACATTCGAACCGCCATGTATAAATAGTTTCTTCCCCAAGATGCAATTCTTTCGGAGATCTTCCTCCACCACACAACGACAAAATATATCATATTCCACCCAACAAGGCTTCGGCATCTGTCGCATCCACATTCACAACCACATTCCATCACACCAGCCTCGATCCACAAGAGAATCTACTAGAAATAATCAAGATGCGCGTCACAATGAGTTGCCTGGCGACCGTCGCCTTGCTCTTCGCCACTATCAGCGCTACCCCAGTGCCCGAGGAGCGCCGCCCATGGAGAGGTGGAATCAACGTGAGTAGACAACACCCTTGCCAAACCCACAGAGTCTCAATGACAAACGGCTAATATATTCTTTCCTGCCTTCTAGGACGTAAGACACCTTGCCTGAATTTGCTACTGCATAAGCCGCCGATTGACTAACGAAACCTTTAGGCTGGGTGCTTGGTCCCATGCCTCCGAAGAATCTTCACGGATTACGCGGCGTGCATGGCTGAATGTACTGGTCCTTGAGATCTTTGCAATGCGGCTAAGGGACGGAGAGACCTTTGGGCTTCTTGGCTTCGTTAGTCAGAGATTATGAGGCCTTAGCGCGAAGGCATCTCCATGAGGAACATAAATTACGACAAATGCTTCTCGGTCTCAAAGTGGTTTTAGCTTGTCAAGTTCTGTCCATCGACAACAGCTCAACAGTCGAAGGAGGGTCAGGGGACTGGGATCAAACTGTGCTACGACCAGTCTACCAATCTCAGTACAAAGTTTTCGAGTAACATTGCCTTCGTGGCTGTCGCTGAAATGTTATGGAATCATGATGCATGTACCCAGCTCGTAATGCTGTCCTCCTGAGTCTAGTCGATTGCCGCCCCAAGAAGAAAGGTGTTTCAGGATACTGATTAGCCACATTGTCAGATCTAATAATTCAAGAGAGATTAACACGTGTATCGGACCGCTGACTCTTCAGTAACCTAGGAGCAGCCACTGGCCTGTCACCACCTCCAGGCTGACTTCAAGTGGCCTAGTTTTACTAGCTACTCGGTCAGCGCTGGGGACGTGAAATCATCCTATGACTGATAATAACACAAATTATATGAACAAATCGCGGTGACAAATGCGCAGGTTTTGCGACTGCCCCCATTGCCTTAGGCGATGTCTCGGAACATGAACTCAAGACTCTTGAAGTTCGGAGAAGCGGGCTGGGCTTATACGGACGAAGACTACGAGTCGTCAATCATACGCCTCAATGTCGGATATTGTTGTGAAAATTACACTCATTCACTTCTTCTGACTTGATGGAGCAATGGTCAGACGATATTTCCCCACTGAATCTCTCAGCTGCGATTCACCGCCACAACACAATCACAACAAAACTTCCTCAAACACAATCGCTTCCAAAGTCTAATCTCCGGACCATATGTCTCGAACAGCAACCTGACTAAGTCC